AGGTGGGCCATACTTCAGAGGCAAAGGAAACAGCAATAGGTGGCCATCTTAATAGAGGCACAAGGAACCAGCATAGGTTTGCATCTTTTAGAGGCACAAGGAACAGCATAGTGGTCCATCTAATAGAGCCAAGGACAGCATAGGTGGCCATCTAATAGAGGCACAAGGAACAGCATAGGTGCCATCTTTTAGAGGCACAAGGAACAGCATAGGTGGCCATCTTTTAGAGGCACAAGGAACAGCATAGGTGGCCATCTAATAGAGGCACAAGGAACAAGCATAGGCCATTCTTTTAGAGGCAAAAGGAACAGCATAGGTGGCCATCTTTACAAGAAACAGCATAGGTGGCCATCTTTAGAGGCACAAGGAACAGCATAGGTGCCATCTTTTAGAGGCACAAGGAACAGCATAGGTGGCCATCTAATAGAGGCACAAGGAACAGCATAGGTGGCCATCTTTAGAGGCACAAGGAACAGCATAGGTGGCCATCTTTTAGAGGCACAAGGAACAGCATAGGTGGCCATCTTTTAGAGCACAAGGAACAGCATAGTCCATCTAATAGAGGCACAAGGACAGCATAGGTGGCCATCTTTTAGAGGCACAAGGAACAGCATAGGTGGCCATCTAATAGAGGCACAAGGAACAGCATAGGTGGCCATCTAATAGAGGCACAGGAACAGCATAGGTGGAGGCACAAGGAACAGCATAGGTGGCCATCTTTTAGGCACAAGGAACAGCATAGGTGGCCATCTAATAGAGGCACAAGAACAGCATAGGTGGCCATCAGAGGCACAAGAACAGCATAATCTTTGGCAGCATAGGTGCCATCTAATAGAGGCACAAGGAACAGCATAGGTGGCCATTTAGAGGCACAAGGAACAGCATAGGTGGCCATCTTTAGAGGCACAAAGGAACAGCATAGGTGGGCCATCTAATAGAGGCACAAGGAACAGCATAGGTGGCCATCTTAGAGGCACAAAACAGCATGGTGGCCATCTAATAGAGGGCACAAGAACAGCATAGGTGGCCATCTTTTAGAGGCACAAGGAACAGCATAGGTGGCCATCTTTTAGAGGCACAAGGAACAGCATAGGTGGCCATTTTAGAGGCACAAGGAACAGCATAGGTGGCCATCTTTTAGAGGCACAAGGAACAGCATAGGTGGCCATCTTTTAGAGCACAAGGAACAGCATAGGTGGCCATCTAATAGAGGCACAAGGAACAGCATAGGTGGCCATTCGAGCAAAAGAACAGCATAGTGGCCATCTTAAGAGGCACAAGGAACAGCATAGGTGGCCATCTAATGAACAGCATAGGTGGCATCTTTTAGAGGCACAAGGAACAGCATAGGTGGCCATCTTTTAGAGGCACAAGGAACAGCATAGGTGGCCATCTTTTAGAGGCACAAGGAACAGCATTAGGTGCCATCTTTAGAGGCACAAGGAACAGCATAGGTGGCCATCTTTTAGAGGCACAAGGAACAGCATAGGTGGCCATCTAATAGAGGCACAAGGAACAGCATAGGTGGCATCAGAGGGAACAGCATAGGTGGCCATCTTAATA